GGGGAGTAGAGCAGTCCAAGCTTTTCCTCACCTGCACACCAAACCATGCAGGGCTTGGGGTCAGACCCCCCCATCTCTGCTACCCCCATGGAGGTTTTTGTCAGGCTGGCTGCCCCTGCCCCAGCCCAGGGCACGGTGGGTGCTGAAGGCTGTCAGCAGGGCTGGGAGCTGGCCCCCCTCACAGCCCCACCCAAATCAACTTAAGCATTAATCCCATCCCGGCAGCACTAGAGGGAAGCCCTGGTGCCACGCCAAGGCTGGGCCAAGAGATGCCCAGGAGCATCCCCTGCGAGAGCTCACCTGCAAATCGGGTGTAGGCTGTGTCTTGGAGGAAGGCGCCACAGCCAAAGTCAATCAATTTCACCTGCCCCGTGGCCAAGTCAAGCAGGATGTTCTCCGGCTTGATGTCCCTGTGCAGGACCCCGCAGCTGGTGCAGTGCCACACGGCCTCCAGCACCTGGCGAAACAGCCCTCGCTCCTCCTCCTCCGGCAGGAACATCCGCTCTGCCAGCAAATGAGAGAGGTCCTGGCACCGCTGCAGACACTCCAGCACCAGCAAGAAGCTGTTGGGGAGCTCAAGCCACTCCAGGAGCTGAATGACAGCAGCACAGCCAGAGGACACTCTGTCCATCAGCACGATCTCCAGGGGCGCACGTGTACCGTCGGGCTGCGGGAGGAGCACGGTGCCGTCAGTGGGGCTGAGCCCGTGCCAGGGCTCGGGGAGCCCTCAGCCAGCCCGGGATGCTCTGCGCTCTCCGCTGGCCTCACGCTTGCTCTCCCCGCAGGGCTCCCGGTGGCTCCCACCCTGCCGGGCCCCAGCTCATCCCCGCCCGGCACGCCCCGGCTTCTGCCGCTGGCCCCGCTCACTCACCAGCTCGCACCAGCGCCGGATGCGATCCCGCGGCACGCATTTGATGGCCACCTGCGAGCAAGGAGCGGCACAGCTGTCTCCCAACCCTGGTGTTCCCTCCTTGCCGAGAGATGGGGATCCACCTTGGGAGAGCCGTCGTGGGAAGAAGATCCACCCCCAGATGATTTGCTGGCCCTTCCTGAACAGGTGCTTCCCTATGACCAGCTGGTACAGCAGGAGGCCCAGGGACCAGTTTGTTGCTGCCTGGCTGTGGTAGCGTCTCTGGTGGAACCACTCTGGTGGCCTGTAGGAAAGAGTTCCTGTGGAACACAGACAGAGCTCATCAGGGGGATGCTGCTGCTCCCAGAGCCTCGCCCCAGCATCCCTGGGCATGTGGGCACTGCCCCTGCAGCACACGGGGTGACCTGCTGCCCTCTCGCCAGCACCTGGGACTTGTGTACAAACTCGGGCTTGCAAATGAAGTCAGTGCTGCTGGAAGAGAGCAGCAGAAGCACTGGGGAGGCCCAGCCATGACCCACAAAAAACCAACTCAGTGCTGGGGAATAACCATGTCCTCATCCTCCCTGCCTGCATGGCCCCAAAAGCATTATGAAACCAAGGCAAACATGGGGAGTAGAGCAGTCCAAGCTTTTCCTCACCTGCACACCAAACCATGCAGGGCTTGGGGTCAGACCCCCCATCTCTGCTACCCCCATGGGGGTTTTTGTCAGGCTGGCTGCCCCTGCCCCAGCCCAGGGCACGGTGGGTGCTGAAGGCTGTCAGCAGGGCTGGGAGCTGGCCCCCCTCACAGCCCCACCCAAATCAACTTGGCTCAAGCATTAATCCCATCCCGGCAGCACTAGAGGGAAGCCCTGGTGCCACGCCAAGGCTGGGCCAAGAGATGCCCAGGAGCATCCCCTGCGAGAGCTCACCTGCAAATCGGGTGTAGGCTGTGTCTTGGAGGAAGGCGCCACAGCCAAAGTCAATCAATTTCACCTGCCCCGTGGCCAAGTCAAGCAGGATGTTCTCCGGCTTGATGTCCCTGTGCAGGACCCCGCAGCTGGTGCAGTGCCACACGGCCTCCAGCACCTGGCGAAACAGCCCTCGCTCCTCCTCCTCCGGCAGGAACATCCGCTCTGCCAGCAAATGAGAGAGGTCCTGGCACCGCTGCAGACACTCCAGCACCAGCAAGAAGCTGTTGGGGAGCTCAAGCCACTCCAGGAGCTGAATGACAGCAGCACAGCCAGAGGACACTCTGTCCATCAGCACGATCTCCAGGGGCGCACGTGTACCGTCGGGCTGCGGGAGGAGCACGGTGCCGTCAGTGGGGCTGAGCCCGTGCCAGGGCTCGGGGTACCCTCAGCCAGCCCGGGATGCTCTGCATGCCTCGCTCCCTCCATGCCCGCTCTCCCCGCAGGGCTCTCATCGGTTACCATCCTGTCGGGCCCCGGCTCATCCCCGCCCGGCACGCCCCAGCTTCTGCCACTGGCCCCGCTCACTCACCAGCTCGCCCCAGCGCCGGATGCGATCCCGCGGCACGCATTTGATGGCCACCTGCGAGCAAGGAGCGGCACTGCTGTCTCCCAACCCTGGTGTTCCCTCCATGCCCAGAGATGAGGATCCACCTTGGGAGAGCCGTCGTGGGAAGAAGATCCGCCCCCAGATGATCTGCTGGCCCTTCCTGAACAGGTGCTTCCCTATGACCAGCTGGTACAGCAGGAGGCCCAGGGACCAGTTTTTTGCTGCCTGGCTGTGATAGCATCTCTGGTGGAACCACTCTGGTGGCCTGTGGGAAAGAGTTCCTGTGGAACACAGACAGAGCTCATCAGGGGGATACTGCTGCTCCCAGAGCCCCACCCCAGCATCCCTGGGTGTGTGGGCACTGCCCCTGCAGCACACAGGGTGACCTGCTGCCCTCTCGCCAGCACCTGGGACTTGTGTACAAACCCAGGGTTGGAAAAGAAGGCACTGGTGCTGGAAGACGGCAGCAGAAACCCTGGCAAGGCCTGACCATGACACACAAAGGAAAAACCCAGTCACACTGCTGGGGAAAAACCATACCCACATCCTCCCTGCTGGCATTGCCCAAAAAATATTATGAACCAAGGCAAAGCAGGGAAGCACAGCAGTCCAAGCCCATTCTCACCTGCACACCAAACCAGCTGGAGCACGGGTCCTGGCTACCCCTCTTTGCTACCCCTACCCACAGGGGATTTTGTCAGGCTGGCTGCCCCAGCCCCTGCCCCAATCCTCCAGGGAGAATCCCTGCTGCCACACCCTGGTTGAGCACTGAGATGTTGGGCCAGGAGATACTGGGACCAGGAGCCTACTCCTGGGTGGGCTCACCTGCAAACTGAGTGTAGGCTGTGTCCTGCAGGTAGGTGCCACAGCCAAAGTCAATCAGTTTTGCATGCCGGGTCTCCAGATCAACCAGGATGTTCTCTGGTTTGATGTCGCACTGCAGGACCCCGCAGCTGGTGCAGTGCCGCACGGCCGCCAGCACCTGCTGGAACAGCTCCCGCGCCTCTTCCTCGGACAGGAACCTCCGTGCCCAAATGTAACGCCGCAGGTCCTCACATCGCTCTGGGCGCTCCAGCACCATCACGATGTGCTTGGGGAGCTCAAACCACTCCAGCAGCTGCACCACACCGGAGAAGCCTGTGGACACCTTGTCCAGCAGCACAATCTCCAGTGGTGCGCTGGTGCCGTCGGGCTGCGGGAGGAGCACGGTGCCGTCAGTGGGGCTGAGCCCGTGCCAGGGCTCGGGGAGCCCTCAGCCAGCCCGGGATGCTCTGCGCTCTCCGCTGGCCTCACGCTTGCTCTCCCCGCAGGGCTCCCGGTGGCTCCCACCCTGCCGGGCCCCAGCTCATCCCCGCCCGGCACGCCCCGGCTTCTGCCGCTGGCCCCGCTCACTCACCAGCTCGCACCAGCGCCGG